ATATATATATATAGAAATCGTATTGATTAGCTCATAGTTAAAGTCTCTTTGAATATTAGAGTTCGATTGTAACTGAAATTATTCTTGATTGAACAATTGATAAAGAATAAAAACACTGATAATGACATATTGATATATGCTAAATGAACATTAGTAGATCTGTGAAAATAACGTTAAAATTCAATATATGATAGTTCATTTTAAGAAGGAGAAAAAGTACGATAAACTACATAATAAAAATATTTGATTTTATTACAAAAAAAACAGATATTGTATGAATCTTCTTCTAAATAGAAATATTGTGTATTTTTCAGCTTAGAATTCTTATTTGGATTTATGAAAAAGAGAAATTCTTATATAAAATTTCGAATTATTCATCTTGATTGTTTATATCTATAAAATTGATATATTTAAGGTTCTGAGAGATGCGATTGACGAGTAACCCATCGTCGATGAGAATAATCTCGTTTGTATGCTGTAGGAATCCATACTGGTCGTTGTTCAGGTATATAACGCTGACGAAGACGTTGAATTTCCAGTTGTCGAGATAAATATTCAGATAATTTGTCTTGTTCTTCTGTTTGTTTTTTTGTTCTTGTAATTCTTTTATATGGACGTGGAGATGGTGGGGGAAACGCTTCATCAATAACATAATCATCACAAATCGAACAATAATGAACTGGTGATGATGTTCGAAAATAATTTTCTTCTTTTTCTCGATTACGAATACGAGGATAACAAACTGAACAATTTTCATCACATTGAATTGATCGTGTTGTTGACAATTTAGATGAACATATTGGACAAGTTTCTTTTTCTAAACGTAAATCACTTAATTCGTCACGTAATTCAGCTAATTCTTTTTTAACTTGAAAAAGATCATTATTTAATTTCGAATTTTCACTTAATGTTCGATCTACTGAAGTTGAATAAACTGGTACACAGGTTGCGGGTAATCTCAAATAGCTGTCAGTTACTGGCACATAAAACATCTTTGGTTTTTTTTCAAATGACGACGATAAAGACGATGAGAAAAAAAAAGACGTGACTTGTTTCTAACAACAGAATACTTTAGCGACTTCTTTTTTTTCTCTTCTGACGAACAGAACAACAATAACGAGCCTTATTTTTACCATGCTTGTAATTTTTACTTAACTACAAGATGTCAAATAGTATGTCAAATTTATTTTTCTCGTCGTTAAATTCATATTTTTTGATTAGTAAAAAAAAAATGTATGGGTTTATTTTTTTTTAATGATATATATTTATTAAAGATATTCAATCATAAGTTTTGAGAAATGTATAACGATAAACCCATCTTAAACATGTTTGTAATTGTCGATTCCATTTTTTTTCAAAATGTTCATGACGAAGTTGAAGTGGAGCAGGTGACCATAAAAATTGTAAACGAAATATTTCCCATTCACGTAATAATTCATATCGTCTTGTTAAATTACGTACACGTGCAATAGCTGATAAATCTGCTATTTCACCAACAGCTAAAGCTATATAATAATAAAAAATAAAGATTATTATAATGCTAATTTGTATATTATTGATTTACCGATGAGAAGATTATTGACGAGAATCGTCATTGTAACACCAAAGAAAAGAAAAAGAACAAAAAGAACTGGATAAAGGCTAATGTATGCTTCACTATCTGGACCAAAGAATCGATCTTCATAACCTGTATCTAATACCATAAAAGCTAAAAAACAAATGAAATAATATTATATGACACAATAAACTTTGATAATGAACAAACCTGATCTAAACCAAGCAAAGGGAATAGTAGAAAAAACAGGTTGATTTTGTAGAAGCATATAAAAAGCTGTTGAATATGAACAAATTAATATTATTAATACTGGAGCAAACCATAAAAATTTAAGCATAATTACTTCAAGCATAACAACATAAACTCCAAATATAGGAAAAAAACGAAGATAAGATAATAATGTTGTCCAAGCAAGAAATACTCCAAATGCACCCAATTGCCATTGTGTTGGACAACGAAAACGTAATCGACCTTGCCATGGATTATCATCGTATAAACAGATAAAACTAAGAATAAGTGTTACAGTTTCCATATAAATTCTCCATACAAGAGAAAATCGATGTACACCAATGATTAATAAAGCATCTTTTATAACATGAATCCATAAAAGCACAATAACTAACGTTTTAATAATACGATCTGCTGGTTGTTTCAATGCTTCTTGAATATTTAATTGTGCAAGACGTTCACCAACTTCTTCACAATTCTGTAATAAATAAAATTCTATAAATTCATTTAAACTAAGTAATCAATGTAGCTTCTTTGATACTAAAATATGGACCTCATATGTCTTTTTTACCTTCATTATACTAATATAAAATACTAAACATTTTCTAATAAATGATAGGTAATCAATCGCCAGAGAAATGATCTGTCTTATTCATTTTTTTACATTTCGAATTTGAACTTTTTTTTTCTTTTCACTGACGTACTATTTTTTATTTGCCTTGTTACTATTGGTCGTTATTTATTTATTTATTTACGACTATTATTATAACCATTGATTTAACTAACAGATAAACCTGTTGTATCTATTCATTATTTCTATATTAGGTCTCAATGCACAATAATATATCTCATGCTAAAGTCTCTAAGGAAGGAAAAGTCGGAAAACTTCGACTTGAAACTTATACACAATTTTTCCTTGGAAAACTATATGTGAGTATCACAAAACTAATACTAACCAATGCAGGTCCATGAGAATAAAATGCATTTGGAAATGAAGCATTTACTAATCGATAAAAATATTCTGGTTGTCTATTTCGTAACATTTGTATTGTAAATAAAATTAAATAAAGGCAATAGATAGAAAAAAATATTAAAAATAATGGTAGTCCAAATTGTTTCCATTTAAGTTGTGTTAATTGAGAACAAAGAGGATGATGCATTAATTTATAACTATATTGAACATTCTTACTGTCATCTTCATGATCTTTTAAATCAATTTCTTTAGCACATTTACACATAACTGAAAGTACATTATTATGTACTAATGTATAAGGATTTGTTGTATAAGCAAATAATGATCGACAATGATTATCATCAAAAAATTGATTTTGAAATTCAACTGGTTTATGACGACAAAATATTGGACAATAACATTTATTTATTGATTTCTTTTTTATTATCTGAGATGCCATATTACGTTGTTGCCATTGTTGTATATAACAATGATCTTCAAGAAATTCAAAATCATAAATTATTTTATGTTGAGCTTCATGTTTATTACCAATATGTGTTATAAAAATATCAAGTACACGATAAGCTAAATCAGGCATATATGTTATTAATTTTCTAAGTGGTGTATCAATATGTTTATTATGAATATCAAGTAATTGAGCATTACGTAAAAGATTTTTAAATAGAGAAATATTATTAAGATTTAATAGATATTCAACAAAAGGTCGATTTCGTGATATTGTAGCTGTTTCAAGACAATTATGACCTAAACCATCAATTGTTGTTAAGAAATCAAAAGAATTTTTTCGATAATTTTCAATATATTTTAAAAACATATCAAGTATACAAACAGATGCATCAATACCATCATAACATTTAATACCAACACATCGAGCAACACAATGTAATGGTGTTGATTCATGATTATCTCGGACATAAATATTAACATTTAATACTAATAATTCTTGTATAATATGACTATGACCATAAAAAGCAGCTAAATGTAAT